GTTGTTGGTTGTTGTTGGTTGTTGTTGGTTGTTGTTGGTTGTTGTTGATTGTTGTTGGTTGTTGTTGGTTGTTGGTTGTTGGTTGTTGTTGGTCAAAACCTCTCTGCCCTGACGCGCTCCCCCTTGCTGTCGGCCGGGGTCGGCGGATTAGTGGGCCACAGACTCATGGGAACCACATGGAAACATTACTGACAGTAACCCTAAGATTAGGGACCATAAAATGCAGGGCCCCCAGTTTCAAGATGGCTTATAAACCCCATATTTGTAGGTTTCATAAACCATACTTATTGAAGTTGTAAACCAACTTAGCTATCTCAGATTATCTATGGGGCCCCACATTGTATGGAACCAGCATTTGAAACACTAATAGTGTTTTACTATTGTTACGAAGCCATGTCTTACTTCCATTGTCTGAACCGGCCCCGTCCTCTGCAGAGGTCGACCAAGTCACTCCACTTCAAGATCTCCTGGTAGGATCGAGGTGGACTGGTTGGGCTGATGCTGAGCTGTTGGCATGTATTCGCTACGCATGCGGGGCAAAGAATCTTTCGATCCCACCCCAGTGGCAACAGTTCCATGCTGTAGCTAGAACAATGGAGCCAACTTTTGTAGATTAGCCAAAAGAGACATCGATTGAGTTGTCTTTTACGGCTTGATCAGAACAGGTGAGCGATTGAACTCACCTTTCAAACTTTTATGGCTTTGACATGAAAATTCATCAAAATTCATGAAAACTCATGAAAAATTCAAAAATTCATGAAAATTTCAAAAAATGAACGGGCGAAAACGGGCGACGAACGGGCGAAAAACCCCGACGAACGGGCAAAAAAAATTTTTAGCAGTTTTTCAACATAACGTGTTGGATTTGCAACCACTGTACCCAATGTTGAACTGTGTAGTGGGTTGTTGCCCTTGTCCCAGTTCCCCGATTGCAACTGCAAGCGGAGCTATCGCATGGAAAGGACGTGAAAAGAGGAGCAACCCATCTGGGCTCTCATTGGCCGTCTCACCATGACTAGTAAACACAGTATCCTATAATTTCAGAATGGACTAGCCCTTGGTTGTTTCTTTGGAAATGCAGTTGTTACAATGTACTTCAAAGTCATGGGCAGGTAGGAGAGATGCAGTCTGATTGAACGGGAATACCCCAGTAAAACGGTTGAACAAGACATGTGACAAAACCGGTCCCTATTCCGTTTTCTAACAATGGTTCTTCTACTTTTGGGGGTCTGACAGCATTGCCATTATACCCATATCATTGAAAGATTCGGTTCAATACTGGGCACTGCCCACTAGCTGTCAGAATGAAGGGGATGGCTAGCAATGCTTGGTCTTCAGAGACCTTGAATCGGGGTGTGCGCATGGTGGAGCGGCAATCATCGGGCCTACTTTCTCAAGTGAAAGTTGAACAAGACCCTGACTTGAAAGCAGCCCTCGAAGTTACCTGGTACATGTATGGGATTTGGTTCTGCGGGTGAAATACAAATCGTAAACAGGATATTCCTCTCGGGTTCCTTTTTCAGGACATGGGCCAATGTTATCATATTGTTGAGAATGTTTTGACTAGTGTCTATCTGTCAAATTTGTGTTCCGTCATTTTGTTCAGCTTTTACTTCAGTATGTATCATAATTCAAACATTGTAGATGTCCAAATGCCTGTTTGAACTAGATATCATTCAGGGGGATTCCCAAAAAGCCCAGGAGTTGAGAGATGCCGAAGCTGAACTATCCCTGCTCACAGCCACGTCATCGCCAGGGTCCTCTGAAAGGCCGAAGGTGAAGTGCGAAATTGATCCTCCAGGAACCTCATTGGAGAAAGAAGGCATTGAGGCCATTCAGTCTACCAACCCAGACAGTCAGGGGTGGCAGCTCTGGTCCCGAGCAGCCTTGCAATCTTGGGCACGTTCGGGTCCCATAGATTTAGACTCCGATGGTGACTCCACTGGTGGTTTGGATGGAGTACCTATGCTGATGTGGGTAACTGTTTTTAATTTTAAACAAGTGGACCACTGTATGAACATAGTTTTTTCTCCTTTCATTTTTTGAGGGCACCAGAACTTCCACATCCTAGACACACGGAAGAGCAGGGTCTAATAATATATCACCTCATAAAGCAACATCATAACTTAATAATATTTATACACTATAGTGATTGAGTATGCAGTATACAGCATACACTTTTATACATTATGCATACTTTCAGATACTTTCGAATCATAAAAGCGACCATATGGCCTGATAGAAGGAGAATACAATGTAATCATGTTGAACATACAAAATCAGATAATGATAGATAACATTACTTAAAGCAAATCATATCATATTATATGATATGAAAAAACACTTGTAAGGGATGATATGGGTTTGTAAAACATAAATTCACATAATGTAATACGTGGTCATAGAAAATTATTTGACTGTAAACTAACAAATACAATAAGATACCATGCAATAAGATATAGCAGGGTATAACAGGGTATAATGTAAGGTGGTACAAACAAGTATAAACATCTAATTCAATTTCTAGTATATCATTTAGTGTCAATTATCAACACTACAGTATTAAATGATTTTCATCCCCCAACAGCTGATGATGTAGTATGTTGCTTTTGTTTATTGTAGACTACAACATTGTTTAGCTTACCTTCATAGATGGAAATTACCTAATAATTGTCCCTCCACATATTCGGGTCCAAACAGCTAGATCCCAGGTAGATACGCCGATGACAAGGCATTACTCTCCAGAAGGTGGTACATCACATGACCAGGGTGCATGATGAACGTCTTGAAAGGGGGGATGACATCGGCCCCTATGGTTTTTCTGATGAGGCCTACCACAATTGTCCCGATGATGCACCAGAAGATCATCAACCACCAGTTGAGGAAACTCAATTGGATGCACTGGATTGTCCCCAGAATCCACCATCCAAATCCCCAGAGGAAGTCGATGCACCCATTGGCGGCCCAAAGCCACCTGCCCATGTCTCCTGCAAGGCTGGGGGCCCTGCTGCAGAAGGCCCTGTTGCCACTCCTTGCCGCAGTGCACAAACGGGCGGTGTTGCTTCCCCAAGCTCCACTCAGCAATCTGGGGAAGTGGATGTGGGAACCCCAAGCTCGGTGGCTACACTTGGTGATAAATCTGTGGAAACACCTGTCCCTGGTGAATTGAGATTGTCCCAAAATGCCATCAATCTGAGACTTCAAAGGGTGATGAAGGTTGATTCCAAAGGCAATAGCCGGGTGAGCGAAGAGATCCGTAAGCAATTTCATTGCAAGAAGGGCAAGCTTCGACTGCAGCAAATATTCCAGAGCTGTGGTTTCAACCCGGACAAGTGTGACAAAAAGTTTTGGTGATGGTTGCTATCAAAATCCAAATCCATAAGAAAAAATAATTGGTATTGGTTGGGATGACCTGTAATGGTTTACCATGGCTATAGGTGGTGTTTATAACTTGTTTTTAAAAGGGGTATACGTTTCCCACTAGTCTCTTAAACCCCACTGACCCTGCCTTTGCAGGACGTTTTCTGCGAAGAGCTGGAGTTGGTCCAAGAGGATCTTCTGGCAAATGACCTGACAATCGAGGGGGAGTTCATGAGTGAAGAGACCATGAAATCTGAATGGAAATGGTCCCAGTAACTGGATGTAATTATCCTACTTAGTGCTTGTAATGTCAACCAGTTTTATGTTAAAGGTTGTTGGGCTTAATATTATTTCTCTATCAAGCCTTCGGTTCACATGCCTTGCAGCTAAGGCAAAAAATCGATGCCATCAAAAAGGCTGCCATGGAAAACCCACGCAAGCTGATGAGGCATCCAACCAATCATTTTTCTTTACTGAATGATATGTCAAATGTATAAGAGCGTGATCTTTGTCGTGATTCAGGCGTGATCGATACGAGGACCTGGTCTTGTACTGGGCCGAAACAGCCGTGAAGGCTAGCCAAAGGCCTCTTGATTGCACTAGTTTGGAACTATGATTGTCACTGAGCCCAGTCTTAAAGTTCTCACTTCTCTCATGGATCATGTTGAAAGCCAATAAGGCGAAGTAGCTCTACAGCTTTCAAACGGAAGATTGGTTGGCAACAGGAGGGGTCTGACCTGTCTGCCTATGATGCTCCCGTTTGTTTGGGTGGACCCGCTGACAAGAGGATCCGTGACTTCACCCCGGACATGGGCCCCTCAAGCGCTGGTGGTTCCAAGTCCGTGGTGACCCAGCCCAACAATCCCAACCCCAAGCCGAAGACCCCTGCCATGGATGTTGAAGAAGGCTCGACATGTTGAAGTGCATCAAAATACCCATCAATAGGCAACCCGAATTCAGGTCCATAAATCTTTCAACACCATTTTGGATCATACTATTTCATACCCATGCGTACATCGTACAATGTTGGGTCCCCCAGATAGCTAAGTTGGTTTATAATTCCAACAACTACTGTATGCCTTATGATACTTACAACTACAATTATTTAATTTGGTTTATGAACAATTTTATACTGGGGGGCCAGATTGTTGTTTTGAACCCATTGCAGGTTCTGATGATTCAGATTTGGAGATGAGCCCAGAAGAGTGCAAAGCTCGGGACGCTGAGTCCCGGGCACAGGCGGAGCGAAAGAAAGCAGGGTTGCCTGAGTTGGAGGTGGATCAATTACCCTCCAGCATCGCCACCAAAATGCTGAAGCTCATTTCATAAGTCCAGATTCTGATTTGGTGTTTTGTTAGAAAAAAGTGTTTGAGCTGATCGCCTACTATAACTGGTCCCAATCTCTTCCAAGGACATGTCTCGCCAAGCGCATGGGCAAATTGGAGAAGGGTCTTGAGAGATTCGGTGGCGGTGCTACCCTGTCGAATCTCCAGAAAGCGCAGCTTATTGAAACAAACATTCCGAGAGATTTCAACAGCCACCCCTCCCGAAAAAAAAAGATAATGTCAATGGATAATGGATGGACCACACCCTAGTATTTTTTGGGAGGGCCGCCTTGGGGTATAATCTATGATGACTATCCTGTTTTGCAGTGTGTCGCAATTGGGCATCCGCACCATGTTTTTCATCTCAGGATGAAGGACAAGCTGGAGAAAGTGATGGGCGACCTCAAGGACCATTCCAGCGCAATTGACAAGATATACACGTTGGGTGTTGTGGACGGGTTCACCCAAAAGTACTTCCCCTGCAAGCAGTTCCAACTGATGAGCATTTGGTCCCTAGAATAACTTCCAACTGGTGGGTACCTGTATTATGATGTTTGGGGCCCTTTCTTCCCACATCTAAGGCATGAAGATGAATTGGAAAAGGCATATACCGAAGCCAAGAAAACGTTGGAGTCCCAGCCCAGTTGAAAATAATTGCAATGGTTATGTCAATATTCTCTCAGTTATTTCCACACCACCTTAACAAATTCAACTGCTCGCCAAGGGCGGTGGAGAGCATGAATTTGGAGTTCCGTATGAGGCCAGGTATCTATGGGAACTGTCTTTTTGTGTTGAACCTGACACTTGGGAAAAGGAGACCATAGTATCGACAATTCAAAGCTTTGCAGACCAACTACTATTTGCCTTGTTTTCCAACGACCTCACTCTACCAAGCCCTTATCCAAGCCTCTACTTGGAGCGCAGGCCGATTCTTCCTCGTGCTGGGCCCGGGTCCAATCAACCTCCGCCGAGACGGGTCAGTGCTCGGGCAGCAAAAGCCAAAGCCAAGGCCAAAGGAGAGCCGAAAGCCAAGTCTAAGAGCAAAGCCAAGTAGAACCGTTCCAATGGGCGAAAGTGTGTGGCTTGGGGACCTTCAACCTACCCAAAAAAAATTATGGCCATTATAGGTCTGAACCTGTCAGAAGTCACCAGTAAACTAGTGGTGCCCAAAACTTTAGTTAGAATCTATTGGCAGCCACACATGATGCCATGACAAATGGGCACCTGCTTTTTTAGGAGCAGTTGCTGGGCTAAATTAAAGCCTTGCTTTGTGAAATTACCTTCCACACCAGGTGGCCAAAGGATTCCGGAAACAGCGGGAAAAAAAGGCAATGTGAGTCATTCAACTTGCCAAATAGGATGTGAAGTCAAATGGTTTTATGTTCCATGGAATTTAGTAAACCACATGCCAGGTGATGGAGCCACTTCAAAGGCAACGAAGCGTCCTTTTGTGGAGGCTTTTGCTGAAGCCATTTCTGATGGGGTCTGGTGCCAAGAATGGGTTTCATCACCAATCAAAGTCCAATGGTTTTGAAAGTGCATATGCCCCAACATGTTCTGACCAGCTCACATAGGTCCAACTCCACCAAACCTGTTTGGGCCGGCCTAAGGTCCCGGCCAAGCAATGCAAGAGGCTGCACTCCGCTGCCCGCCATGACATGGGTGAGACGGGTCTGCTTACCGGTGGATTCGGAGGGCTGGTGTGGCCTGGAAAGTTCCATTGGATGTATTCCACTATGAATGTGACGATGGATCTATTTTGAACATCCACTACCTTCACCCCAAAAAGATGTTGAAGTACCTCATCGAACATCATCCAGTGGTGATTTTTGGAACTGGTGACAAAGAAAAGGCGAAGCAATCTTTGCTGGCATTTTGGCAAGGGTATTCTCAATTCCACAGCACCCATGAGGTATTCTCTTTGCAGGAACCCCGTCATCAACTTATCCCAATTGCATTGCACGGTGATGAGGGAAGAGGAAAACGCCGGTCCCAAACTACTGTGTTTAGTTTGGAAAGTGTGCTGGGCATCACGGGCCATTCATCAGTGTGCACTACATGTTGTCCAAGTCAATGTTGGCATGCGCCTTATGGAGAAGATGATGGATACCAACATCATTTTTTGCCTCTACTACGTCACAATATGAAAGGCCATTCGTTTTTGCAACATTTTCCGGTGTTCATTCTTCCAGGCACACTGTGGAAGAATTACAAATCCTTGACAAAAACGCTGATTACATTCCTTGCTGGGGAATTGAACGCTCTTTTCCATGACGGTTTACAAGCTGCTGGTGTGAAATACAGAATCGTTGTCGTTGGTTCTAAAGGAGACCTTAAGTGGGTGGGGAAAATTGCCAATCTCACACGTGGCTATGAACATCAAGGTCGTGTTCAAGATCTACTGTGTTGCCATCAGTGTATGGCTGGGAGTGAGCAACTACCAGCAGAAGACTTTTCAACAAACCCCTGTTGGGAACCCACAGTACATTCTGAACGCCCCTGGTCAGATTCAGCCTTGCCATGTTTGATGGCTATTCCATTTGACCAAGAAAAACCTGAGCTTCTTTACAGAAACGATGGATTTCATACGCTACGCATAGGCGTATATCGTGATTTCTCTGCGTCCTGCATCTTCCTCTTCATGAAATGGGGATACTTTGGCGGGGGAAACATGACGGAAAAACTTGAAGCTGCGCATGGTCATTTGACTTTGTATCTTAGAACGGTTGGGAAGACAGCCGCGTTGCGCTCTTTTACGCTTGCTCTGTTCAACTACCAGAATGCTGGTTCCTACGTTTGGAGTAACACAAAGGGCTCTGATACGATGTTGCTATGTGAATGGCTTGTCGTTGCAGGGCGCGGTTTCCTTGTGGAAGAATCAGACAGAACCAAAAGGGAAGCTTTGTCAGTCATCTGTGATGCAGGTCAACTCTCTTTGGAATGGTTTGACCTCATCTACAAGCATGGGATGTTCCTGCCCCGATCTTGTGCTGCAACTCTTTACGAGAAAGGACAAGCTTTTCTCAATGGCTACGCTTGGCTTGCAAATTTTGCAATGGCCCGCGGCATGTGTTTGTTTGGCGTAAAGCCAAAGTGCCACTTTCAAAAACACGCTCTGCTGGACATTTACTGGCAGCTCCAACAAGGTTGCCCCTATGTGATGTCACCAGTTGTTTGGGACTGCAGTCAGAATGAAGATCTGATGGGAAGAGTTTGCAAATTGGGGCGCAAAGTGGACACGCGTGTGATTACAGAACGGGTTCTTCAATTCTATTTGATTAAGGCTGCAGTGCTGTTGAGACGGCATGAACGGGTTCACAAAGATTTAGATTGCAAATTCAGTTGAAAAAGGGAAGTTTTTGATGGCGGATGGAAGTTGGATGAACTGTATAGGGGGTTGTGATGGCTAATGGGAGTTGAATTAACTGAATAGACCAATCTCATTGCCTCAGGTCGTTATTTGAGCCATCGGGCGAATCTTCTGGCTGCGAGCGAACTTTATTGCTGTTTCAACTTAGGGCGTTCTTTTTGCACATGCGGATCTTGTAGGTATATATATATATGTATATATATGTTTATATATAAATGTATATATATGTGTATATACATATATAAATATATATATATTTATATATGTATATATATAAATGTATGTATATATATATACACATAAACCAACTTAGCAATCAAACCGGGGTACCAACTATTCTCAGCTTACAGGAGATCCCTCCACCCGGAGCCCCAAAAAACGCGTTCCGCTGAGCCGCTGCGGCAGGGAACGTGCAGCATCTATCGATGATGCCGATGACACGAAGGCACGGGGCCCCAGTTACTTTGCTAAAAATATCATAGCAATAGTGTACATCAATATATAGCAAAAGCAATGTATATATGATATATATATATAAATATTGCAACTCAAATATATCAATATGCAAATAACATGAAAGAAATATGATAGCAATATATATATATATATAGTGTAAAGGATGGGGCCGGCCATGTATGAATTGGTTTATAACCCCATCTAACTATGATTAAAGAGGGTTATTTTCATGTGGGTCAACCAATGCCAATGCCACCATGATGGGGAATGATGACCAGACCACCTTTTTGGAAATGGTGATGACAGGGGGATGGTTGATTATTGTGTTACCCACATAAATATATATATATATAAATATAACAATATGCAATCATAGTTAGATGGTGTCTGGGTAGATTATAACGACCTCACTGGGAATCTTTGTGTTTATAGGGAAATCATCCCCTTTTATGGCCTTACTTCAGGTGAGTGAATTATTTTACAATTTACCCCGAGTTATAGTTACAATGTGGGCCCCCCCCCCTAGATAGCTAAGTTGGTGCACATAACTCCAATAACTATCGTTTATGGTACTTATAACTATAGTATTCCTGGGGTTTATAAACCAACTCATAACTAGGGGCCCCACATAAATCATCTATAAATCATCAATAAATCATCATCTAATCATCTATAAATAATATATTAATCATCTATAAATCGTCTAATAATCATGTATAAATCATCTATACATTATCTATGTCTATGGTGTTATAAATCCAACTTATAACTAGGGGTCACTATCCTATGGCTGATGGGACCCCTATTGCCCTGCTAGTTTCGTCAGAAACCCATGGCACCATGGGAAGCTTATGGCAATGGAGCTCCTATCATTGGGGGTCCCTGTAAACTTCATTCACTTTTTTTTGCTTGTATATTCTCGGCTTGAAGCGACTGGTGTTTTTTTGTTCACTTAATCACCCTCTGGTAAACATACAAAAAACTATGGAAAATCACATTTTTTTACTGGGAAAACTCACTATTTCAATGGCCATGGCTTCAAGTTCGCAAACTGTGGTGGTCATTACCGGAGGGTACTCCCTCTAAGGCTCTAAGGATAGGGACTGAGGCAGAAGCTGTTGGAATGATGCGACACAAGACTCTTTTATTGAAAGGATTTGAAGGGCATTTCAGAACTATATAAAAGACTTCAGTATAGTATAGGATTATAGCAGAGAGCATAGCCCATAGTGATTTTGCAGTGGATGTGAATAAAGATGTGGCTGCACATTGTTGAATCATGGAAACGGCATTTGTTTCCACATCATATCTTGAGATTCTTCGGGGCGGTGGAAAACATTGAGTCGGTTCCGCGGGTTAACTGCGGCTTCTACAAGTCGTGGGCCCCCCCCGGACTGACGTGAAATGTCTGTTGGTTTATAAAAGCCAGGAATACGAACGTTCGTTATTTGCGTACGATAAACCATAGTGAAATTGGAGTTAGGCTAGCACCAACTTAGCTATCGTTTGGTAATTTAACATATCTGTGGAAAATCAGCATTTGTCATGGGAAAATCCACTGTTTCAGTTCGCCGTTTTTGCAGTTCGCAAACTGTGACAGTCATTACCAGAGGGTAAATCCCATCAAATCCCATTAAACCACCATTTTCCTATGGTTTTCCTATGGTTTACCAGAGAGTATCCCATCTCCCATCTC